ATTTTAACTATAAATTTTAATTAAATTCTGTTCTTTTTCATTTTATAAAAATTTAAAATTTTATTGGCTAATTAGCATATGATACTTTTCGCATGATAAAGATTTACAATTTTGATTGGCTAAACCAATATGCATGATCAGGATCATCATTAAAAATTTTTTTGATTGTTATTTTTAAACTGTTATATTAATTTAAATTTATATATAATTCAAAATTTTGGCGTTTATATATAAAAAAATATAAAATTTGAATTTATTAACAAAAATTCAAATTTTATTAATAGTTTTTAAAATTGTATTAAGTTTTTTTGCATTTTTATTGGATAATTAAATTATACTGCAGCTAAAAAATTGGTATCTATATAAAAAATATGTTGGCTTTAGGTAAAATCCACTGTAGTAATTTTATTATAAAATCTATAAATTTTTAAAATGTTATAACTCCTGCTCTAGTAAAGCAAATTCAATTCTGTAACTTGTAAATGGTATATAAATGGTACAATTTTAAACCTATGTTGAGACTTTTTCTAAATTATTTTATTAATTAATATAGAATTCTAAATTATTAAATTTTAATAGTTATTTTTAAGTCTAGACTATAGAGACACATTAAATTTATATATAGTCGGACCTCCATAAGTGCACCTCTCTGAGACTAGATGTAGATATGCACTTAGAGAGGGTGTGCACTTATAGAATTATAGGTGTATGTTATACAAAGTTTGCAACCAATCAAAATAAGTTTTAGCGTACTAACTAAAATACTCCTGCTTTTAATATCTTCGTACAAAGTGTTTTAATAAAAAATGCAAGATATAATAAAATACTAGCTAACATAATTGAAAATGCAGAATATGTATATACAAATTTTTTTTTCATAAAAAACAAATCTATTACAGCATAATACAGAATACCCGGGTCTTTTATAAGTTTTTTAAAACATTTAATATTAGACTTTAAATATTTAAGTTAGTGTATTTAAAATATGTAAATTATGTATAGTATTCGATATCTATGAAATAATAGCTTACTACTATATGTAGAAATACTAAAAAAACTATTTATGTACTATGTAAACATTATTTGAAATATTTTATAAACCACAATAAATAAAATTATTCAAAATAAATTAATTGAATATCGAATGTGATATAAGATAATAGTTCCAATTTTTTATATGTCAAAGAACTATATTTCTATATATCGCATAACTAAAATATAATCATCCATATCTTCATTTTTTGATATCCTATAGCATTGTAAAATATAGAGTTTTTTAGACCATTAGCTACAATATTGTTATATGCATTGTAAAATGAAATCTACATAGTCATAGTGGTACTGGATAGTTTTAATTATTATTACCATCAATTCCTTATATACTTTCCAAGCTGCGAAAAATACAAAACTTTGCTTTATTAATTTTCTTAGTAATAATTGTCAGGGATGATGCTGAAATCGGATGATACTGAAATTTGGGATCTTAATTTGAAAATATAAACCCTACTAAAATCTATCTATACTCTTTTATTATAAATACTAACTTTAACTTCTAATCAAACTATGAAAAAAAGCTGAACAAATATCACCAAAAAATTTTTAATTTTTTATAATAAAATAAATCATAATTTCAGCATCATCTGATTTTAGCATCATCCTCAACAATAATTAACTTATTAAAAGAATCTGTTCACTTACTTTCTCTTTTGCAATTCTATAGTTTTTATTTGAAATATTCATCTATATGAGTTTGTAGAGCCGAACTTGAAATTTTTCTTCTTATAAAATTTTTAAGAAAATTAATTAACTTTAATTGCTCATTAGAACTTTTCTGTTGCAGCAAAACATCTGAACATTTTTCAAGCTATCCAATGCTAATCTACTACTAATAATTAAAGGTTCTACACTATCATCCATTTTTTTAATATTTTCTTTGTCTATAACTTCAATGTTTTTATTATTTTTAAACACATAAGCTAGCTCTTTAATGGTCTAATCTTCCGAAGAGATTTTGTAAATAACCTCTTCATCATTAATATTAAGAAATTCATTAATTTCTATAGCATTAAGAAGGCAAAACATATCAAGAAAACTAATAAGATCTCTAAGCTCAGAATCATTAGTTTCACAAAGATTATCTGAAAGACTTGTACTAAATGAAAGAATTTTTGTATGATGCTAGCAATTGCGAATAGTATCAGCTAAAACTTCTTCTCAACTCTTTATAATATATAGAATTGCTTGTAAAATATTCATTTTTAGATCTTGAATGAAATTGCTCACTTTAATTTGTTCTAATATCCATCTAAGATTTAAAAAAAATTAATTATAAATTTAATAAGACCTTGCAAAATTAATTGGTTTTTATAACCCGGCTGAATCAAATTTGGAAATATTTTTTAAAAAAAAATCTTATATTAAATTTAAAAAAAATATTGGCCAGTTGGGTTTATTTAAAAGTTTTGTGTTATAAAAACCAAGACATTAAATTTGTGTAGTTTAATTATAATAAACTATAAAATAAAATAGAATATATTAAGAAGTAAAAAAGTTTTACTGACTGCAGATAAAACTGATAATAAGCTTTTTAAAAGCCATAATTATTCTTGCATTCATTGTTATAACTTTGATATTATATTTTTAGAAAGAAAATGAATATCTACATGTTAAAGAGTTAACACATCTAATTTATAACTTGAGCAATTGTCAAGAAGTAAGAGAACATATTAGCTATTATACTTTCGTAGTATTTGATAATCAAACTTCTGAAACTATTCTTAAAAAGAACCACAAGCATCTAAGCTTTGGTATTATTTCTATATATCATAGAAAGATTATTAATTTGTATATTTTTAAAACATCGTGATCTGGCATATTTGCTAATTATAAGGAGATAATTTGTGAAATCTATTAGTATTTGCATGTAATGCAACAGAAAGACATTCTTTATCTTTTTTGCACCCTGCAATTCATCATATTGCTAAGGTTCAATCTGGTTCTAACCTGTAATAAAAAAATATCAAAAAAAAAATCTATAAAAAAATTTTTTATTAAAAAAAGCTACTAATAAAAAAGTTCTGTTTTATCTATATTATATATGTGGTCAAGAGAGTACCCAGCACACTTATTATGCAATAATAGTAAAAATTCAGTGACAACGTTCTCATCAACAGATGATGCCTCTCTATGAAGCTTTATTTGACAAATCTCATTTTGTTCTTTAAATTTTTGAAGCCACTCAGCAGAAAAATTTAATTTGCCTTCGAGAACACTAAGTTTCTCTGCTAACAATTTGGCCTTCTCAACTATTATAGCATCACTTAAAATAGTACAATCCTGATATATTAATATAAATTCCTTAAGAGCTAATTCAAGCTCTGGAACGGTAACTGCTTTATAATGCTTAGCTTCAGGATTTGTGACTTTATTTAAAAGTCTTTGGTTTTTAGTTTGTACTGTAAAATCTGCGTAATTGTAGACTCATTAACTTTGATCTCCTATTTGTTTTCAATTCAATTTACATATTCTGGATGGGTTTTTTGTTGTCATGAGCATAAACACAGAATTCAAAATTTTGAATATCTGTTAAGGTTGTTCTTTTTGATATTTTGGCATACTAAAGATATTATATATAAAAATTTTTTTTCTTGCAAGAATACAAAAGCTTTATTTATTGAAATTTAGAGATCACTAAAATACTATTAAAAAATATCTTTTTTTAAAAAAAAAATCATTTCTCTTAAAAGAGTTAATTAAAAAAAGTTATGAATTAAAACAATCTAGATTTAATTTAGATTTATATAGTTAGGATAAATTTTTAGAGCTAAGTTTTTAAGATATAATCTAGATATAAATTTAATCAATTCAGATTTATTATAATATATAGCGATTGGGTCTGGGTCTTTCTTTTAGGCTTGTCATATTGATATCCTTATACTAGTGATAAACTTACAGATATCTTTTTGATTGGCATTAAAAAGAAATAATAAAAAACTACAAAAATATATGAATCTTTATAACCACACTTGTTGTATAGCAACAGATTACTTAATTTACATAAGTATTTATGACCAAGTTTTTTTTTTCTTTTTTTTATGCAAAAGCAAGTTTAGTTTGAGCCAAAAATTGAATATACAAGTTTTTTTTTTACTTGATTCTGCTTTTATATAGTGCTAATATATATACATTAAAGTTTATTTAATAATCCTTATAAAAGGTTTTATATAAATTGTGTAATTTCTAGTAGCTTATTTAATTAAACTAATCTTGTATATTTTATTTCAATTATCATTTTAAATTACTCAATTGTTCTAATTTTATTATTGTATTTTCAATCTATGCCCAATTTAGTATTCATATTCTCTTTATCTAAGCGATATAACTAGTATTCACATTCTTTTTATCTAAGTGATACAACTATATATATTATGTCTCATGCTGCTTGATAACTTTGGGTTATCTTTCTGATATTTTTTTGATCTAATCTGGTATATATATACATACTTGATTCTGTGAAAGATCAACAAATATCTAATTATATATTGTATAGTATTGGATTTTAGATAAAAGTTACACAAACAATCTTTAACTTATATTATATACTGTTCAAAATTTTATTGGTCAAGACGATCTGTAATCACGTAATAGTATATTTAAGAAGAGTGCCTTAAATAACAAAATCAAATGCATGTGCAGAATATAGAGAGTAAACACTTAGCACTATGGTTTCAGCCTAGAACTGGGCTTTATAGTATATTTATAGAGGATATATATTTATAGAAATACACTTATAAAGGTCTAACTATATTGGTATTAAATATAGCAATATAGATTCAATAATACACTATTTATATACTATTTGCAAGTTATAAAATTAAATTTGCTTTACTAGAGCAGAAATTATAATATTTTAAAAATCTACAGATTTTATAATAAAATTACTATAATAAATCATTTTGATAAATTGATCAACAAAATCTTACATAGTATATCAATCATATTGTACTGTACTATGATAGTAAATTATTTGATATAAAACACCCCAATATTACCCAGGTTATTTATAAATAATTAGATATCTGAATTGTAAACTTAGCTACTCAGGTAAACATACTTGGATAATATATAGGTAGACATACCTAAATAATCTTTGGGTAGCAAAAGTTTGAATATTCATATAGATTGTCCAAGCTAACTAAATAGAAATAAACTAATAATAAACTTAATATTTCAATATACTATACAAAAAAGTTATTTGTAAAATATTATATTTTTCTTGAAAGCTATGTATAGAAATTTAGGCCTAAAAAGGGTTTATACTAAATTAAGTGATCAACCAAAATAAATTAGTGTTTTAATAAAGACAATAAGATATTATAAAACTATGTTGAGTTTAAACCTATCAGTAACTTACCAAGTACAAGAGTAATTTATAGCTGTAATAAATATGCACTAATCTATTATCTAGTTTGAATTCTGAAATTAGTATATTTTAGTGAATAGACTTACAAAACTTGCATTTCTTTTAGAAATAATACAAAATTTTTAATTTATCAATATTAATAAAATGATTTATTTTTATATCTGAGGTTGTTATCAATATGAAGCTAGAAATAACAGCCCAAGATAGACCCAGGTTTACATATTTATCATAGACCTAATTGTAATTAAAAAAATTATTTGTACATAATATTCATGCTAAATTTGTAAATCTTTAGGTTTAATACAAGATAATCATATAGAACTCATTGTTGTTAATCAAGCAACCAAAAATAATTTATATTTATTATTAATTTGTTAGAGCAGTGTTAGAGTGATATGACTTATAATATTCAAAAAAAAGATCTATTGATAGCCTAGTACAATTTTTATGTAAAATATGACTATATCAAAATTATATCAACAATTAATGACTTGAAAAATTTGGTTAACAATATAAAAACGTTATTTAGCTATATTAATAATATTGAGACAGATTTGTAGATTTAACAAGTTAGGTTTCAACTCGAGTAATTTTTGTAGATCTTTATATTTTGATTAAATATTAATTTTTTTTTAGATAATTATTTGACAGATATATCACATATCGATAAAAATCAGCATAAATAAACATATTGATTAATTTAAAAGTAATCAGTTGAAGGATAAAATAATCAGTTAAGTACAAATTCTTATATTTTATCTAGCTATTTTCTTGTTTTAGGTTTTCTGTTTCTGGTTTTGCGCAATAATATCACAAAACTATCTAGTAAAGTAAAAGTATTTAATTAACCTTATCTGAGTATATCGATTATACATAGCAACTATATAAAATATTCACAGATACATGATTTTAAACCAATTACGACACAAAATCAGGTGTAATATAAAAAACAAAACAAACTGTTTATAACTTGAAAAGTCATTTTGATTAGCTGATATAGTACAACTATAATAGATTATTACACAATTATTTATATTAGTTTTAAAGTATCTCTTATATAAAAATATAATCACTCATATGACAAATAGCTAAGCATATTACCTATAATTGAATAATTTTCAGAATATATTGGTTTTTCGTTTTACTAGTAGTTAGCAAAATTTAATTCTATTTCTGAAAAACTTTTACTAATACTGCATTTTACTAATAGCCTAATAGTATACAGGTAAAATTTTTTGACTTTTTTTTAAAAAACATTATTTAACAGCTAATACAATTTGTAATCAAGATAATGAGTATTTGCAAAAGAGATTTGAATAATATTTAATAGCTTGTATAAAGTATATAAACTATTAAGAATAAAAAAAAAGCAATTGAATAGTAAATATAAATTTGTTAAAGAATTGGTTTTTATATATATAAAATATTTTTAAATCTGATATATTATATATCTGATTGTTTTAAAATCTTTATGAAGTTGTGTTACTTTAGAAGTGAATGTATAAAGAAGTTTTTTGTAATAATTTTCTTGTTTAGAATATGTTGATATACTGCATTAATTATACAAGTATATATTTTGTGCCATGTTTTTTTAAGACTTTCTGTTATATCAATACTGGTAGAAACTTGGTATATAGTTATATTTGTATTAACTTGATTTGTAAAAGATTTTTAGTTTTCTTTGAACATTGATTTGTAGTTGAATATTTTTTTTTTTGTATTTGGATTTTTGATTAATTCAAGATAGTGCAAATAGAAATGTCTATGTTGAGATCAAAATTTGATGATCACTATTTGTAAAGAATGAAGAATTGTCTATTTCAAATTTATGTAAATACAGTATTAGTGTATTACTAGCCCATATATAATCAATTCTAGTTTGATATCTGTTGCTTTGCCAAATATACTGTATATTGTTTATATAATTAGCTAGATCATATATATTAGTACTATATAAATAGTTAAGCAATTGAAACTTAGTAGCTGATAATATAGTTATATCAGTATTTGCATTAAAATTACCAAGGATTATTGAATGTAGGTTTAGTATGATTGCTTGTTATATCTATGTTATTATTTTGTTTTGCATTAGTTTATGATTGTAGTATTAGTTAAGAAGAAATAAACAGAGATAATTCTAAATTTGTGATCATTTTTAAAAAATAAATCTATTGCAATTGTATCTTCAGAGTAAGTAAGAATATTATGAATATAAGACTTGAATTGTTTTTAGATCATGATATATATGTCTTTTTTAGTGTCAGGTAAGTTTGACTAGTAGTATAAGTAGTGATTTGTATTAAAAAATTTTATATCTATATTATTAAAGATTTTTGTTTTAGTAAGATTAACTATACAGATTGTAGATTAGACAATTGTCTTTTTATAGAAATTATTTTTTTAGCATATTGTATCCTTATATATTGTGAGTAGCAATATTTAAATATAAGAAGGTGTTAGGTTTTTTGAGTTCTCTATAGATATAGGTTGATTGTCTTGATGATAGTAGATAGTATTATAGATAGATATAGTAGATGAATATATTAATTTTGTTTCATTGTCTAAAAATAAATTATTTATAATGCTTGGTTCATTAAACAGATAGGTTAGAAAAGCAAAATATATTGTAGTATAATATTTAAGTAGTGTTTATAAGAATTTCTTAATTGTCTTTATAGTTAGTTGAATATAGTTTTGAAGTATAGTTGTTTTATTAAATAAGTATATATATACTTCACAATATAAATTATATATAAGGGTGTGGCAACTTAGTGAGGTGGTTAAGTTGTCACATCCCAAGCGATATATCGGCCAGGTAGGGGGTTCGAAACCTACTGGTGACGAATTTCGAATATTCTACTTGTACGACGGCTACTGTCTTTCGACGATCAGTTGAAACAGGATCTCTGTAATCTTGGTGGTACCAACAAGATTGGAAGATCATAGGGTATTCGTGTAATGTATGAGTTATACAAAAATGTTCTGGATCGTGTTAATCCAAGGAACCGGAAAGATGAATGCCCACTTGGCAAGACTCGAGTAGAGAGGTAGTACAGATCTTTGACGGTGCTACGTAAAAAATTGCTATCAGAGAACTAGCAAAAACCGAACGAGGACCGGTGTATGA